ATTTCCTGAAAACTTTTAAGGACTTCCATATGACAAAATATGACTGAGTGGAAATAATATTTTGAGCAAAAGTACGTAAGATAACATTTTGTGCAAAATATATGCAAATTATACCTTCCTCCAAGATTTGATGGAAGAGAAGAAACCAGAAATCAGTTTCAAAAACATTGTTGAAACAGGATTGAAGAGAAAAAAGAACCAATGAGATTTCAAAAGATCATAGTTAAAGACATGCACAGGTACGAGAACATACCATGCTAACATTCTGCCCATATGAGCCCAGTGGGCCAATCGGCTGTGGAGACACTGATGGCGATAAGGGAGACCTGTGCCTGTCTGAGGGTTTTGGCCAGTCTGACCAAAGACCTCCAGATCTAAATCCATCAAATCCTTGCTGCAAGTCATGAAAACCATGACTACCAGGATTTCCAGGAAAATTGCCTCTACCAAAAGATCCCACTGGAGGATGATAACCAGGCCTTGGTCCAAAAAGCATATTGTCACCTTGTTGGTCGATATTAACTAAGGTGGTGAGCTCTGGTTGTGAAACTGTAGTAGGTGAGGTAATATATTGCATGCTCGGAGGACCAAGCTGCTGATAATAAGGCGGTCCCGAAAATGGGTATTGCTGGGGGGAATATAACTGGGCATCTCCACCTACAGATGGCATTGGTGTTGTAACTGGGGAGTAAGGCCCATACGGCATTTGCGGATTGTAGCCATATCCAGAATGAAAGACTAAAGAAGGATTCTCATTGTAGACACCCTAATCAAGATTGAAAATAAACGAAAATTACAATTAGTTAACCTGAAAGAAAGAAACATATATACATGAATGACAATGCATAAAGATACACTCACAGGAGAATTAATCTCCAGTCCTTCGGTGTTGATGTATGGAGAATATTCTTCCCACTCACGAGTTCCATTTTCATAACCTACATCACAAATGATAACATTGTATCTATATTTACATTCTATGAGAGCAACATAAAACATAACTAAAGACTACAAAGGATTACTTTACAATTTATTTCTCCTTATACAACATGTCAAAAACTATCCCTCTCTAGAACTATAGTTAAAAATCCATTTATGAATACAAGCCTCCAAGACAGTATCGAGTAGCAACCAAAGAAAAAAAAATACTAGGTCAGCTACAAATGTATAAAATTTGGAATTTATATTCCAACCTCACAATGTAAGCCAGATTTTGATTGGACTACTAAACACAAAAAAGGGAAAAAAAAATCCCTCCTGATGGAGGTGAATCACTGTAATGTTGAAAAGGCCAACAAACAGTGAAGCGAATTTTCAGACTCAACCCAGCTGTGAACAGCTCATTTCCATGGCAGCACATCCCGACCCAGAGGAATAAAAGACTAACCTCTATAGTAGAAGGGCTGGGCCTGAGGGGCATAAACATTAGGTGGGAAAACAGTGTGATCTCCACCTGAACCAAAAGGACCTGATTGACCTGCTGCCTCCCTTGGAAGACCTATGGTGGCAGCATCCGGAGAAGGATTAGGAGAAACTGACCTCTCATTTTTTGAGACTATGGGCTGATAACAGATAAACAAACGAACGTTGTCATGCACAAGAGGGAGTAAAGAAAAAGAATTGAATTTAAATTACAAAGAACTGGCAATGGATCAGAAGAGTATTGTGTTGGACTCACAACTACCTGCTCCTTCATGCTATCTGGTTCGGCAGGTTTCTCTTCTGCATCCATGATCAGTATGCTCAGTGACTTAGTAGAGTCTTAGAAACATAGGGAGTACAAATTATTGACCAACCAAAGCAAAATTCGGGGATAGGAAAACTTGAAGCTATGAATATGTGCGCACATATCCACGCGTGCACACCTACCCACACATAATAAATAGAAGTACATGAATATATTTCATAATCATGTCTACATCAATAGGTTCAAATAAAAAACACGAAATTTTGAGCTACCCACTCGTATAGAAAAAAGTCAGAAACAAAAATAGAGATAAAGATCTCAACTTCACAAAAGCTGCCATAGATATGATCCTAACCGCTCAAACTATAAACAATGAAATTCATGGAATAGGAAATGTTTTTGGATATACAATGAAGCACGATGTCCAGCTGTAATTATTTCAAGAGAGCTTCTAAAATTTTCGTGAATTTATAATGAAAAGAAAAATAAGCAAAAGATTTGGACTAAAAGGATTCATTTTCTTTCCTTTTATAAAAATCTTTATTCATCCACCTCCTACTACTGGGAACAACAGCTTTCCTTTTCAATCTGCTTCACCCCAGTCCCCAGTAAACCAGACCATGGCGATACACATATAAAGACCACAATGACGAGAAATAAAACCACACGGTAGGATTAGTAGAAGCATGATGCCCTATTACCTATAAAACTTTTGTTCAGAAAAGTTACATTTTTGCCATATCAAAGAGAGGCTTCTTCAAACACAAAACCCGAGTCTGAAAGTAGTTTATACTTAATACACACGATATATAAATTTGATTGCACAACCACTGTACAGTCCCTAGTATACTTTTTGTTGACAGCAATTCAGAAATGAATATCGAAATGATTCCTATAACCCAAAAATGATCACTAAAACTGTATCTTCACTGCATAAATCATGAATAAATTGATCCGTGATTCCGTATAGTATTCGGACTAAACTATGACTGAACTCGATGCAACACATTCACACGATCCAACACTTCATCAATAAATGACCTCAAACACAAAAATCGAAACACGAAAACAGAATATAAACAATCAATGCTTACAACAATTCTGTCATGACAATACACAGATACTACTAGATCTCCAATCCCAGACACTCCTCAGCCTACCAGCAAAGCCAGATCAGGACACAGTTCGACACACCAAGCCAATCACAGATGCCAAAATTCCCACGGCAAAAGTCACTAAAACTCGAAATCCCCAACAGAAATACCAAAAAATTCACCAATTCATTGACTTTACATACAAATCAAAGCAAAACAAACAAACCCATCTGAGGAAATGATCAACAAAAAGAACCCAGATTTTAAAAATTAAAAAAAAAATAACAATAACATGATCGAAATTCAAGAGGCAGAATTAAGCAAAGAGAATAAAAAGGTAGATTATTTATGATATGGGATTGTTGGGATTGACATACCGGAAGTACGATCTGGAGCCTGCGGTTGGTTTGCCGCCATGAATCTCAAGCAAAGATCTTCAATTTTCAAAGAGACAGCACCACGCAAGAGAATCTAAGCAGGAGGTACAGTATCTACCAATATATGTATATATTTTTTACCTCTCTCATCTAGTTATAAGACATAATAACATTATTATGATTATTTTATTTTATTAAAAATTAGAATTATATTTGTTTTATAACGTACTCCATGTTTATCCTGCAGAAACAAGAAGTTTCTCGCTATGGTTTTTTGCTTTTTTGTTGGATTTTAGTTTTATTTATTTATTGGTAAAATTGGAGGAAAAAAATAAAAGGAAAATGCGGGCGTGGAAGTCACTGAAATGGTAAAATTGTGGGGAAAGGAAAGCCAGAGGAAGAGTGAGGTGCCCAGAAAGAGAAATGTGCACATGTAACGCTGCACGCTGTGAGGACCGACTCACTTTACTTCTCTAGGACTGTTTGGTGATTCAAAAATATGTTCAAATATAGTTTTAGGACATTAATTGAAGCGGATACTTTTCAATTCTCAATTATTGAAATGATGAAGTCGATTGTGTCAAATTTTCATTGGTATGTCGTCGATGATTTTTATTTTATTTTATTTTTTTGTCGATAATCAAATATTATTAAAAATGAATTGGAATGTTTATTGGTATGTCATTGATGATTGATCAAAATTAAGTTTTAATCAATTGAGCCATTGTTATTTACTTTTTTGATCAAATCAATCAATTTTTCTATGAAAAAGTTGATCAAAATGATCAGTTCTTCAATATGTGGTTGATAATAGATCACTATGTCATTGATATTTGATTACCATGTCGTAGGTATTTAATCATTAAGACATTGTTATTTGATTTCGATGAGTTCAACAATTGAGTTACGTAGAAGGAAAAAAAAACCCATATGAGGCATTCTTCCAAATGTATTGATTGTTCCCAAGTGGCCCTTATGATTTGGTAGCACAATCCTTCAAAATGCTCTCTTTCCCTTCTCTTACTCACAATCCTTCAACTGATGCAACCGAAGACAAAAAATGGGTACTCCTGCAGGTCTCTCTTTCTCTCTTGAAACCGATATTTAGTCCATATAACATCATTGTTGAAGAGTTACTCGCTAAGTGTTTATAACGTACATCATTTGTTAGAGAGGATTTGGCTAATTGGCTTGAGTAAGACTATTCACTATATTGAAGACATTTTAAAGGAGTAAATAGATGACAACTTTCTTATCGGGTAGGTTTCTTCATGAGTAACCTTCAACTAGACAAAATCATACAGTTGTCATCTATTTCTTCCTTTAAAATGTCTTCAATATAGTGAATAGTTCTACCCAAACAAATCCTCTCTATCAAACGAGGTTTCACTATCCAATAATGACTGACACATGGTGAAATGGAGGACATGAGAGAATCTCCTCTCGAGGAGATTCTTGAACACAACCGGATATATGATGAGAGAGAGAGAGGGAGAGAGAAAGAGAGAAAGAAAAGATGATACATGGCCCGGTTGTGTGGTAAAATCTCTCATGATTTCAACTTCTCGAGTCCTGTAAAACTAATTCTCCATCAAGTTGTGAGGCATTGGAGATTGTTGTGATATTTCATAAGTGATTCAGCTATCAAAAGTTGTGAGAAAAATGCCTCAATAGACAGACTTAAGCCTTCTCAGAATCTCATATGACAAGTTGACTTGCCTACACCCTCGAGATGCCATGATGGTGTCCCGAATCAATCATACAATCTCATTTATTTTTACTTCCGCACATGGCATTGTATCATTGGTCCAAGAGTTCGACATTTTCAGCCCAACCTTTCAGTTTTTAAATTAGAAATGCAATATCTCACTTTAAGATTTTTAAGGAACACAGTTTGCTTCAAGGAAAGAAAAAGTTACAACTGCTGCTGCTAAATATTCACAAGCTGCATTTGGGAATGAAAGAATCCTTGCCTAATTTCTTCTTTCGTGTCTATCAAATCGACACTGTAAAACATTTGCTGTATGCGGTTTGTTCTTAGAAATGCATTTACTGCCTTTGAGTCTTTGAATCCAATATAGTAGTCGCTCAATTCAAGGCCCTTGGTTTCAAACGGGAAGAGCAACACGCATATCCCCGAAAGAAAAATTATAATCTCAAACAGCAGAATGGAAGCTGTTTGATGGCATCCATGCACCAAACCTACTGCCACAAGAGGGCATACCATTCCACCAATTCTTCCCATTGCACTTGCGATTCCAACACCAGTTGTTCGGACTGAGGTTGGGTATATCTACAGTTCAAACCAAATAAATAAAGATCAAAACCCCGGCATAAGTTCTAAATGATTTTCATGGACAAAAATTCATGTGAGTATTCAAACAGGGTTCTTCACAAAATGATTTCTTAGACGCGGAGTTCTTTCATATGATAAACAATGAGATCATTTTGTATTAACATTTATGAATGTGATGAAGAATATAGAGGTTCCGTGTAAGTGCTGGATGTCAAACAAAATCCAAGTTCATCTGAATAATAAAAATCCCAGACAATATGCATTGAACGAAAGCATGGACTAGTTGCGGGCTTAAGAATCAATTTTCGTGTTTGTGGCCTCTTGAAATGATGAATGCATTAACAAATTACCTCTGGGGCGTATATGAAGACTATCGTGAAGGACCCTGTGATGCATATGCGAGCTCCAAACAGAAGGATAGTGGTCAAGCCCTGAGACTGATGGACTACCAGGGGAGTAGAAAAATGCAGCATAGGAAGAACATGGATGACATTGAAAGCTTACGACCCAGTTTATCGACCGTAGCAGCAGATATGAGGAGCCCAGGGAACTCTTCATTTCCAAACAAAGTTAAATGTGAGTCAACCGATTTCTAGAATTACAAAAATACTGAAATATGCAGATAAATGTACCTGCAAAACTAGTGATGAAAACATCTCTATAGCTAGTATTCATCGCTTTATCTGACTGTATTGGACTCGGTGTACATGTACTGTGTCCACTGCTCAACTCAGTTGTCAGAAGCACCAGGCCGTAATATGAAAAAGCATTCCCAAAGAATACTACCCATAAGAGCAGGGTTGATCTGATTAATTTTGGGGAAAGAAGCGTTAACAGTGAAGAGATGCCCCCCACATTAGAATCCATCTCCTTAGGAGTTAGATCTTCTTTATCTGTCGGTGAGATCAAACGTGTAGCTTCTGATGGAGTACTATTTTCAGGTAACTCAATTTTCAAATCAGAAACAAGATTCCCCAAAGGGAGTTTCGTTCCATTCATTCTTGCTACTTTCTCCAAAATATTGATTGCCTCAGTTGTTCTACCTGTTAAGCACAAATATCTCGGTGATTCAGGTGCAACCCAATAGAATACGAGAAGAAGCGATGAAGGGAGTGAAGACAAGGCAAGTAGCCACCTCCAACCCAAGTTTGGCATGACAAGCTGCAAAGAACACAACGTAAGTATATGAAGGTACCAACCTTATATTCTCATTACACATACTGCACTACAAACGCAACACAAGGGAAAATTAAAATTATCTGCAGTCGAATATGTAAGGTGAATAAGGAAGTGACTCCTAATGTTTTTTGTGTTCATCGTATCCAGTTGACACGACTGCTAAAAATTAGGCAGTATTGATGCTAAAATTCCATGACTTCCAATATGTAAGGATGAAAAACTGACAAAATAATGAAATATACAAAAAGAAAAACAGAAAGGCGCGGATTCAAATCTAGAAAACTTAAACGAACACCAAGAAAGTACTCAAAAACATACCCACGCAAGTGAAGCCTCAAGAATTGTTCCAACGGTCCAAAAAGCTGAAAAAATAACCATCCAGGTGCCTCTGTTAGGAGCAGGAATGAACTCCAGAAACCAGGATGAGAGTACAGGGCCACCTCCCAAACCAACACCAACTATGCAACGAAGGACGAGCAAGGATGTATAATTGGGGGAAAGAGCACTCAGAAAACCAGCTCCAGAGGTAACTATGGCTGTAATGAGGAATCCTTTCCTGGAGGAATAGAAGTTTAACAAAAGAAGAAAAAAAAAGAACCAGTACAATTGTTAACTTGGAAATTAGGTGCATTCAAACATTGGAAAGGCAAAAAGAGCCAAATCTGCATCCAATGAAGATAGATAAAGAAAACTACAGTTAATAAAATGTGCAGGTACCAGAGAAATAGCATTGTTTTCACTACTAAAAGATGCAGGTTGTGCGTGTGCAGTACAAGGCATCTCAATGATGTACATCCGTTAGAATATTTAGAGGAAAGAACCATAACAAAAGATTGTACAAAAGTCCGAATCACAAAAAATAATTCCGTCATCATTCTTGCATAATGTATTTATACATGATCCAGACTGTCTGAATTAGCCAAAGAGAAGCAAAATAAGGAAACAAGAAAGTGCCCACCTACGTCCATATTTGTCAGAAACTATGCCCCACGAGTATGATCCGACAAGCGTTCCAGCAAAAACCACACTGGTTATTAAGCTTTCTTGTTCAGACGAAAGATCCCAAGCAGACTGAACCGCTGGTCCAACAAAGGAGAGTAGCATCATCTCCATGGCTTCTGAGACCCAACCCATGCCGGCATAAGCAAGCACAAGAATTTGGAACTTTCCAAACCCCATGGCCACAAGAGCCTCGTCAACAGTGTACTGCGGGCTTCCATCTGCCATCTACAGGTTTGAGACGACAAAACTATTTCACCTGATCAGATTACACGCATAATTCCTAGTGCCATATGGTCATTTCAGAAACGATATTTTTCTACGAACGACTACCAGAAATTTTACAACTTCGAAGTAACTTATTCGTAAGTCATAAATAGTTGCAGGCACTACTCATAAACAATGTTCACATGGAAAAAGCAACTGTGAAGGAGAAGAACTTATATGCAACTACGAAGCTAAAGTGGCGATATCCCAAACCAATCATGGGATGACGTGCGAGAAAGTTAAAATACATGACGACGCATGATAGGTTTGAGATACAGCCAACTACATCCCGGATGCATGTTAGTCTCTCTCATTGCGAATATAACCACATATCTGGGAACACAGAAAATCTATTCATTCCACCCAATTGAAGTTTCTCAGCCATAAAAATAAGGAATTAAAATTATCCAATTGAAGTTTTTATCTTAGACAAGTTTCTGCAGGTCCACTCTAACTCTTAACTTTCTCCAAATAATCCCAAAAAAAATTGGAAACAATATTAAACAAAAGCATATGTAAAGGAAAACTTGGAAAATTAAAAACTAACCTGCAATGTTGAAAGAAAGATCTTCCGGTTTCTGTTCTGAATAATCAGCTCAAATTCTAGATTCCCTCAAGTTTTCATTTTTGTGTGAAATTCTGAGAACAAAATGAATTGGGAAATTGTGCAGAAGGAAAAATAGAGGGAAGAATGACATAGGGATATTGATTTTCTGGTGTTGTGGGGCTTTGGTGACTTGTTCGGATTCCCGCTTCCATCTAACATTCCAACTCACCTCTCTCTCTCTGACCTATGACATGACCCTTTCTGTCTTTTGCATTATTTTAATGTTAAACTGTTAAACACTCAATTAAATTCTTATTTATAATAAAGTAATACAAAATGCTGATGTGGAAATAAGTGAAAGGATTTCAATAAAAACTTTAGAAGACACAAACCTTCAATCAAGAAAATGTCATCACCAAGGATTGGAACTTATTTTTTCTTTTATTTTAATCACTTGTTTGTTAGAGTTAAAGGCTAAAAGAGAATGACTACGCCAACAATTCAAAAATAAAATCTGCTTGACCGGTCTGTAAATTTTTTATTAAGGCTTTTTTGTGTAAAATGTGACGATCCATATATACAGATAATGCTTATGCATAAATAAATAAATAAAAATTCGATTCGTGGTTTAATTCTAATGACATGAAGAAATCATTTCATCCCGGTCAACGAAAATGTGTAGTCTCCTCCAAATGTTTTCTGTACATTTGGGCATTTACTGCATGATAGAAAATATCAACTTATTTTTTTACAGACTAAAAGAGAAAAGGGACCTTAATTTAGCTGTTTGCATGGGCAGTGTCGTGAAAAATTCAACTTACTGAAATTTGGAACCGACTCCTTCAATTCTAGCTTTATATTCTTCATTTTATTGACGTTCATGGATGTCCTACAAAGGCTCAAAAATTATTTATGAGTCATGGTGTCCTATTTCTCCATCATGGATCAAAGTAAATATTATCGGCGCTGTTAGAGGTTCCTTTGATTTATCAGCATTTGCTGGTATTTTTTGAGTTTACTGGGCATTTTCTTTCGAGGCAAAAGTCAAAGCTGTCGTGTCATGCTATCTCTCTATTTTGGGACAGAGGTTGGCGTCCCTTGTGAATTAAGTGTGATTCCTCTCTAGTAGCTCTCCTCTCTTTATCTCCGCCTCCTTTGACGTCTTTGCCTTGGAGACTTTCGGTTTCTTAGCTTAAGCTTTGTTATCCTCCATATGGGTAAAGATTTATCAAATTTCTAAGGAGAGTACTGAAGTGATTCACTATTTGGCTTGTTATTGTGTCGTTCACCTTGGGGTTCATTAGGGTACCATTTGGTACGCAGACGGGACAGGACAGAAAGGAGGTTCCGTGTTATGTTTGGTACGCGTAGGACGGAACGGGACGGTTGTTCCGTTTTGCGTTTGGTAGGCATTGGACGGAACATAACCAAAAGATTGAATGACTAACTTACCCTTGTTCCGTCTGTTGTTTGGTACAATGTTTATGCGTGGGACGGGACGGAAATTTTTTTTATTTATTTTATTTAAACTTGTTCATATTTGAACACATATATGCTTGTCTATGATATATTTTTTACTGTAGCACATGGCTCAAGATATGTTATACCATGATATATGTTATGCCATTTCTTGACTGAAGACATGGCAGAAGAAGCAAAATGAAAAACAATGGCAGAGAATTTAGAGAGAGAAAGTGAATGACTAAAGATTGTATTCCTTGAATAATGAATGAATTACAGAGAGAGAGGTGTTTGTTATTTATACAAGTATTATTTGCTTCACTCATAAGCTACTAACCAACTAACTTACTTATATCCTTACAAATCCCAACAGACTAACAGCATTCCTACAATCTCAACAAACTAACTGAAGAAATTTGCGTCCTGGTAGGTAGTTATCAAGGGCAAGAAAGTTTGTCACTGAACCATCTTCCCCATGTTGAACACGAGCAGCAAATTTGCAGTGTAAATGAGCTGAAAACCAATAAGTTGGTTTCAGTTTTTCTAGCAATTGAGCAACTGGTTTACTTCCAAGACTTCTTTCTTGAACCTAATGACATTTTAAACGAGATAAGTGGTTCGAAAACATACAAATCAGAGCTTACTAACTCATTTTTCCGTTCTTGCAATTACCTCCTGCTAAAATCTGGTTTTTCCCGAACAAGTTCCTTCCAGTCCCCGCAATCAGTGATGCCAACAGGCCAATCATGTGAAAGAAAAATATTGATTGGTTCCTCAACTTGCATGAGTTTGTGGAAATCATACTCACGAACATGATACACTGACCTGATAGTATGACCATTATAAGGAGGCCTCTCAAAGTGTCCTTCTCAAAAGGACAAAAAATGAACCGCCTTAAACATATCAAAAAATGAACGTCTCATCCCACTCCGTTCCATCCCGTCCCGTCCCATCCCATGTACCAAACGGTACCTAGGGGATATGCCCTTCTTGTGTTTCTTGTAGGAAATCACAATATCTCGAGGATTAAATTGTAATGTCGTTAGACGATTGATGACTATGTAGTAGTGCCAAAGGAGAAATAGCACCAAAGGGAATAAGAGAATTGATTTTACGTTGGAAGATTTGTCTAGAGAAATGAATCCTTTTTTTATAGACTTCATCATACCATTCTAGAGAGTTGTGAGACTTCTTTGAATGGTCTTATCATTTCATGACAAGACACTTCACTTATGGAAAGATTATAACCATATGTTAAGGCATTATCTCTTATCACACCCTTGATTATGTGTATATTAGTACACACCAATCTTGTGGTGCACCTTTATACATCAAATACTCACGTATAGTAAAGCCAACATCTATGCCTGCAGTATTATCTTGACGACTAGTATGTGTTTGATATGCCTGCAATATTATTGTTCAATTTGGTTTTAACTCTTTTGAACTAATTGAAATTGCAGCTCACTCTCCACTTGGACAATTTCTGTTACACTGCTCATCCTTCCTTTTCTCCAATGCTCAAATTTGGAAGCACAACTCAACAAATAGCGATTTTATTTGAGCACTTATAGGTACTCATTGCTTACACATATTTGACAGTTATTTTTTATTTAATGGTCCCCCAGTAACTCAAGCATAAGCCATTGAATTAAATTCAACAACCTAATACATGTTGGTTTGAGTGCCTATAGGTACTCAAGAAAAATTGAACAAGCGGATTTGATATGTTATCAATCTGTGTTGGTTTTGGATCGTTGTTCTGTAAATTATTCAACAAAGCATATCATTTTTGCTTCTTAAATCAGTAATCAACTTTGTGTCCCATCTAGGCCCAAGGATATTTGGTCTGCCTAAACGTAGGTCTATGAACCAAGGAAGCAAAGCAATACCAGAAAAAAGTTATAGATTGGGACCCATGTGAGTAACCACACGTCCAACCACAGAAAAATTTAGGAGAAAGGGACCTACTGGTTCTATTTATAATTGAGATGAATGGCCAATCCCAAGCTCCCTGAAGCAACACTGTTCTCAAGCTATTCGAACTTCCTCATCCCCGTAACCTTTTGTTGTTTCACTATTCTCAAATCTAGTGGATGTAGTAGCTCTCTCAATTTGCAATATCCATGGCATTGGTCTAGCATTGGTCTAAGGTTAATGATGCCAGGAGAGTACAAGACAAAGAATATCTCAACTCGCAAGTAATACTGATTTTCGTTTGCGATGTCACATGCACGACTCGTATCGGTCATATATATGTACAAACAGTTCTATTAGCATTTCTCACATCATTTTTTTCGATTTAGAGAATGTTGATTTTTTATGTCAAATCGAAAGAAATATTACTGGAATTGATAATACACTAAATCGATTTTTAGGGTTTTTTTTCTTTCAATAACCAATACATTGGTGTTTAAGTGGCTAAATTAAGATTGTCAAAATTCAGCCGCCTCCATCACATACACGATTTATTATACAAGTTGAGGGAATTTTGTAGTTTGGTGATGTTTGACAATCCATACCGCTAGTTTGGTCATGTTTGACAATCCACCGCTAGTACCACTGAGTGCAGCACAAAGTGGGACTGTCAGTGACGTAAAAATAAAATAATTGCAACAGCCAAAATCTCATGTCTATTCATCTAATTACAGAATGTTGGGGAGGGAGCCAATCATCTGAAAGTGGAATCTAAATGAACCAGTGATCATGCAACTTGTGTAATTATTTGGTGGTTTTTTATTGGTTGGCAGGTTGTTAATTGAAACTGAATCATTTTATGAAAATACAGACATTTCACCAGATAAGATTGGTTTAAACTTAAAACATGATTATGTTTTGTCTCTCTTTTTTTCTTTTTTATTTTTATTTTTAAAAATCAAATTGTACTCATATTATAGTAGATAAAGTCTTAAAGAGAAAGGGACCAATTGTTGTTTACAAATATGGCACTTGTTGAGAATAGAGACTTTGGCCATTAATTGTTGAAGTGGTAGAGTGTAATCTGGATCTTGATTAAATTAGGGATTAGATTGGATTAGATTAGATTCCTTGATGGTATAGGAATTAATGTCTGCAATAACAAACCAAACTAAAAAAAGATCAAATATTAAGCAACTTGCATAGAGATCATCCATGTTGATTGATGGAAAAAACCAAAGCTTCCTTCGAACCATTTGATCATTTGTGCTTATAATTAATCAACCAAGTATTAGCAATTACTCAAGAGTTATTAAATAGCGTGGTAAATTTGTGTATTCGATTTGTGCACTAAATGATGTGACACATTCTACACCATATAAATTTTTAAGATTTTTAATTTAGTATATGTAGCACCACCTATTTAAATAAGAAACCCTAAATACAAAGTTTAACACTGATACATGCTCATTGCCTCATATGCCAGAAACCCTAAATACAAAACGTTTTGCTTTTACTTCTACACAAGTTAATTATAGGGTAAATTACACTTAAGTTTTAATTTCTTACAACATCTTTAAAACATTTCAATTTCATAGCTCAAGCACTATTTTATTTCAATATAATACGTCCGTTACATTTTCCATCCCTTGATTTGTTAAGAGCTGACTTGGCTGCCAAATTTGTGCCACGTGGGGAAATTTTTTTTTTTTTTAATTAAAAAAAAACTGAAAACGCAAAACCCCACCTCCATCTCCCCCTTAACCCCTCCCCACCCCTCTTCTCCCTCCCAAGCCTACCAACCACCTTCCTCTCCTCCACTCTCTTCACTTCCCCTCCCATCCAAAAACCCACCTCACCCCCACCTTCCCCGAGCCCTTTGCTTCTCTTCACCCTCACTTCCTTTCTCCCTTCTCTCATCAGCAAATTGGACTTGGGCTGCTTGAGCCTGATACAAAAGACGACGCTGGGGCTGGCAGCGTCTTCGTCCATGGGGTCTTGGGGTTGTCCACTGGGTCTTAATTGAAGGTGACATAAATCACTGTGGTGGAAAGTTGTAATTGAAGGCGACAAAAATCACTATGGAGAGAGAGAGAGAGAGAGAGAGAGAGAGAGAGCAGTGGGGTTAGTGTATGTTTGAATATGTTGAGAAAGGAGAGAGAGAGGGAGACTGAATTGGGGGATTGGAATTGGATTTGTTTTCTTTTTTGGATTTTGAGGGCAGGTTTGAGGCGATTTTGATTGATTTTTTTTTTTTTAGGGTTTTTGGGTGGCTGATAAAGGCATGTGATTCCAAAACCCAATTTCCAGGTGTTGGATTTTATTTTATTTTATTTTTTTGCAAGTATTTTGCGGGTGTTAACATCTTGTTTTCATAGTTTTTGTTGGCCTAAAGTTTTAGAAATTCTATTGGCTCAAGGGTTTTTGGGGATCGGGCAAAAATTCCTGTAGTCAAATTCTTGAGTTTGCAGATAAGAGAAGGGAGAAAGGAAGGGCTCGGGGAAGGTGGGGGTGGGGGGGGTGGTGGTTTTGGATGGGAGGGGAGGTGAAGAGAGTGGAGGAGAGGAAGGTGGTTAGGAGGCTCGGGAGGGAGAAGAGGGGTGGGGAGGGGGTTGCGGGAGAGGTGGGGGTGGGGTTTTGCGTTTTCAGTTTTTTTTTTTTTTAAATTAAAAAATTATTATTTTTCTCACGTGGCAAAAATGTGGCAGTCACGTCAGCTTTTAACGGATCAATGGATGAAAAATGTAACGGATGTATTATATTGAAATAAAATAGTACTTGAGGTATAAAATTGAAATATTTTAAAAATGTTGTAAGAAATTGAAATTGATCCCAAACTTGAGGTGGTAAAGTGTAATTTATCCTTAATTATATTAAGAATGAATATAACTTTCGAACACAAGATCTCGGGTGTAAATATTTTCCGAACAAGAAATTAACATTATTTTGATAAGGATAAGAAGCGAACTAATTACAATAAAATATGTTTACATAAGCAAGGGTCATTAGAATCCGTGGTATAAAAATTATAACCAGTTGCAGAACAAAAATCTTAAAAGTACTATGTATGAATTTAATCATTAACAACAAATCAATTAACGTTGGCTACGTTAGGTAGAAGATACTGTCTTTTTTTTTTTTTTTTTTTTTTTTGAGCCAAGGGTAGAAGATACTGTCAAAAACATATGTGGAGTCTTCTGCTTTTATGTGTGCTTATTTTTATTGGTTAGGAACATAGAGCTAATAGTAAATTACACATTGATTGGGTCACACAATGTCAAATTTGGCATTTGAACAAACACAAAGTCATGATCATTTGGTATATTTTAACCTCCCTATACTTTTATTTAAAAAATTCCTGATGCTATTCGTAATACGTGAAGTACAAAAACAATGCACTTTGTTCGGTTATGCCATGCATGATACAAAAGAACCAATTCATAAGAAGTAGAGTGGCTAAATAGAATAAATTTTTTATTATGACGGGAATACAAGTGATACACTATGTGATTTTATATAAGTGGTGAGAAATATTATTTTTTATGTTATTAACTTTTTAACACATATATCTCCACTATTTATATAATAACACATGGAGTACCATACTGTGTTCCAATCACACTGAAAAATCACTTACTAAATTAAACTTTGCTGACGCTATTACTACATGGTCAACTTGAACAATTATAACTTGTCTTGATTTTCGGTGTGATTCTTTTCTAGCTATGCATATATTTTGACAAATAAACTGTCTGAGGCTAGTATATATGCATATTAATGACAATAAAATCCTTAAAAACTAACGGACACAATTTTCTGATGACAATATAAAAGGTGAGAGAATGATTGAAATAGCTAGACCAAGGTGCGTATGAGAAGCCCCACTTCCTAATCTTTAATTGTATCACTGATTAATTAGTTGATCTTCTTGTTAAGTTCACACTACAAGTATTTTTCAATTTGCCGTCTAATTGGCTTAGAGGATCTAGTGGGTAACATTTTTATGGAATCTTTAGGTGAAGGATTCTCTTGGATGCTAATAGAAATGGAATGAGAGATCGACAGGGGTATTTTCAAGCTCGATCACACAAGTATTTCTTTTCGTTTGTCAGGTTATATTTTATCCTTCATGAACCAAACGGAAGAGTTATATATTTTATCTTTCTTTTTTTCTTATTTTTGGTTTATTTTAGTGAACTTCAACACAAATTTATATTAAGGGGTGAGGAAAAGTTAAACCTGAAACATAGATAAGATCATATAACCACCAGAATAATCCATTGTTTACGATAATTTTATGGAATGTGACTCTTATTTCCTTTTCTTTTGTTTTTTGTTTTTTTTTAATTATTTAGATTGTAATAAGCCTTGGTTTTACTTACAGAATTGTTTCTTTGAAATGTAGTCCTGTTTCGAATTTTGTTAAGAGATACTTTTGTTAAACGAGCGCAGTTTTTAGTTGTTTGAAAATCTATCCACAAGGGTAAGATGAATTCATCCCTATTAGAGCACTTCCACCCCATTAAGGCAATAATTACTCCATCAATTGGGCAAAGACAGTTATAACTCAGTAAATAGTAATTGTCAAAATGCATCTCTACCCGTAAATAAATTGCCCAAGTGTACAAAATTTTTGGCTCACACAAATATATTATTAATCCCAATTACGCACCCAAGAATAATACGTATACTAACCAACTTATGTGTCGAAATTCCATTGCCCCGCCTAGAAAAAGTAGGCTGATCTAATTATGTTGAAAGTGTTACATGTGCAAACCCCTTTTTATTGTAAGCCGATAAGAGGAAAGGAATGTTGAAGTCTTCGGCCAGCTTTGGACTCAAACAACTACCCCCGATTACCTCAACTCAACTCGTCTATACTCCTAGATATTTCTTTTGCATGATTTGAGAACCAAAAACTAATGCATGCATACACCTGTACGCAACAGCAGACGCATCCACCAAATTCAAATTTGAATTATCTTTTGACATATATATATATATTAAGTGTTTCAGTAGTTTTCCCAAAGAAATTATATATAGTATAAATTTGAAATCTTGAGTTTGATTTCTCCGCAATGTCTTTGATTTGAAAAAGATCAATTTTTCTTGAATAGTTCCAAACTAGCTATTGAGTAGTTCGAACAAGTTAACGGTGAAAATTAGTTCTAAAAATTAAATGGTGAATATTGTTCAAAAAGTAGAAGTGTCCATCTACTTGGTTGGCTAAAATACTGAAGACAAACACCAAATGATGACTGGATATGTCGGAGAGAAGTGTGGTGTGCGTGCATTGCCAATAAGATAAGACTAATTTAAAGGAGTATATGTAAAGCAGGTTGCAAAAATTTGTCAAAGAAAGAAAAGAGTTTAAAAAAGTTGATGGAAATGATTAATCATGTCTTCCATTAGGATTAGGATTATGCGTATTAGATTTACAGATGTGCTATCTATATACTTATTTTTACTTTGCACATAAATTTTATTAATTTATATCTTTTTGATATTCTTCAACTTATTTGATCGGACGATTAAAAATTAAAAAAGGTACACAAAAAGTGAAAAAAAAAGGACCTGGCTTCTCTGCCATCCCAATCCCCATACATTCCTATCCCTTCTTATTTGTGTGGTCACGGTTAAGCCACGTCAATATTTTATATCACTATTATTTTTTGTTTTATTATTTCTATAAAAAATCAATATAAAATGTTGACGTGATTTATCTGTAACCGCATAAAATAAGAAAGAATGAAATGTGTAAAAACTAAAAAGGTAGAGAAGCCGAGTCCAAAAAAAAAAGTGGGAATAGCACATATTTAGATTTATTGTAGTGCTGCTGTGATAATTACAAAAATGGAATAAATCAAGGGTGACGACATCAAATTGCGACAAGGAACAGACAACCACTTGATAATTATGAGAAACTAATTTGTAATTTTGTATGACCTCCAATTGGCGCGTGGACTGACCTCCCCCTCAAAAAGCGCGTGACCAAGTTCACCATCTTGTCCTCACATGCTCGAACTAATCATTTACGCGCAGCCGAACCCAAAAAGCAAACAGCAATTGAGAACATTATTTTTTCAGCCAACTGCAAGCTTAAAGCTTTCATCTTTTAATTTAGAGAGAGAGAGAGAGAGAGGTTTCAAAACCCAAGTTTCCTTACAAGTTAACGTTGTTGGTTTTACATTGTGAGACATTTATATGTGTCTCTGTGAGTCAGCATTTCATTTACTCTGTTTCCGAAATTTTGGAGGTACGAAGATCTCTCCCCTCCCGCAGGTCCGTATATTTTCTTATCCAATCAATCTCTCTCTCTTGGTTGTGCTACAACTTTATCTCTTTTCTGTTTCCTATGTCTAATGTATGTATCTGTTGGTTTATATCTGTATTTATCTGTTTTCCTTTTTTTTTCTGTAAGATTTTCTTTGTGGGGATCTTTTCTAAGTTGGGTTTTTGTAAATTTGGAAAATTTTCTTCAAGTTGGTCGCTTTTCTCCGAATCAGTGACTGTTCTTCTTTTTCTCTGGTGAGTTATATTGCTGTCTGTTTAATTATTATATGAGACAATATTTTCAAATTACTGACAGCCTATTGCCATGCTACAATGTTTTAATTTCTTTTGATTTTTGAAATTTTTTTCGTAGTGTTTTTTTTTTTTTTTATTTGAATGATGAAAACTCAGTTTTAAAGAAACATGAATCGAAGAGTGTAGTGTAGAGCTCCAAATTACTCAGGATAATTATGAACTTGGTCTTCAAAAAAGTATGAATTAGAGCGAAAACTTTCGCATTCTGACTTGATGGTAGGGTAAATCTGAATCATCCTATGGATTGTGGATAGGCTGTTGAGTTCAATCTTTAATGGTTGACCCTATTGGTTCAGGGAAAAAGGGGATTCATCCTATTTGACAGTTTTAACCTTCTACAAGTGACCAAAGCTAAACATTTTTTCATAAGCTATTAGTGATCCTCGGTCGAGGATTCCATGTGCTGTTTTGCATTCTTGCTGGTTTAAGTCGTTGTTTGAATCTTCGGCTGAGGTTAGAGAAGTTATAACTGAGGCTTAAATGAACTCTACGGCATAATTTTTTAATTGAAGTAACAAAATGAATGCAGTTTTTTGTCCTTATGGTTCAACTGGGAGGGTTTTGTAGCCATTTTCAACCTCCATATATAGGGGAAGTCTTTTGGTATTGCAACAAAAGTTTTTGGTTAAATTCTGCATATAAGGAGGGAACAACGGAAGGGTTTGATATGGCAGAGGGCCATTGGAAAGAGGCACAAAGTTGTTTTATTTGATAGTTGCGTGCCCTGAAGAATCATGTGGAGGGAATTTGACAACAAAATGAAGTTGTGGCACAAATATTTTCAAATGTTTAAATTGCGAGTGAGAAATGGGGGATATAATCTTTAAGAACTATTTGAATCGAGGAACATTGTAAACGGGAGTCTTTAACTGGTATTTTAGGAAAATTTAACTCACAGATGTGGTGATCAATATGCAATTAGTTTTCTGCTCTAGACTTGGTGCATTACCTATCAGATGCTATAAAGACAAAAAAAATTGCATTTGCAAAGGTGTTCGTGAACGGTTTTCTGGTTTTGTTAGGTTAGTGTGCCATCAGTGACCAAAATGATTGTATGTTTTTGTCATCTTTTTCGTCTTGTTATTAGATGCCATGCCATAATGCTGATCACCTGTTTTGGTGGTCTTTCCTGCAGATCTTCTACCTTAGAAGATGGTCTTCCAACTGAGAAGACAATGCTCTATTTATACAACTTACTGGTGCTTTAGATTTGAGTTAGTTCCTTTCGCCTCCGTATTGGTGGTCTAGTTTCTCCATACAATTAAATGTACCCCAATCACTCGTTCGTGATTCTTTTATTAGTGAAACTACCATCTGGTGTGGGGGTACTTTATTACCCTGTAGATTGAGTTGAAGAAATTACCCTGTAGATTGAGTTGAAGAAAACTTCTTATTTGTGGAAATGTAGATTCTTGGTTCTGCTGGCTCCTAGGGTGGAATTTGAACTTAAAACCCTTTGCTTACCATATCTCAATCTTGCTAATCAAGTTGAAGCTTTAATTCTAATTCAGTGTATCTATTCTCAATCTAGATATAGAGATTTCCACCAATAGAAGTCGGCATTTTTCACTGCATATTTGATAGATTGATGAAGGTTGGGCTTCCATCTGCAATCATGAGTCACCATGGTGTCATCTCTGTACCACAAAGTGAGACTACGAAAGGAGTCACATCGTCATACTGTACTTCTCCTTCCCCGATACATGATTTTTGGGTAGTGAATCAGAAGGCAGGAGTTTCACAGCCAGTAAATGTTCATCTCCACGAGTGTCTCCTTTCAAACGGGCAGAATCTCTTGGCTCTCCTACTAATATGCGAGGATCTCCTGTTCAACATTCCAAGAGCCCATTTTCACGTTCTTCTGTTTTCTGTACCAGTTTGTATCAGTCTTCTTCATCGAGCTCTGAAACCTCTCGGCAGCTTGGGAAATTTCCATTTCTTCCACATCCTCCAGCATACGGCCAGTTCAATTCTGCTGTTGATTCAAAATCACCATTGCTTTTTAGTGAGGATATGAGCAATCAATATGATGATGAACAATCCGATGATCTCATGAAAGACTTTCTTAATTTGCATGGAGATGCCTCTCATGGAAGCTTCCATGATATTAGTTGTGGAAGTGACACTCTAGCACTTACAGAACAATTAGAGTTACAATTTTTGTCAGATCAACTTGACATAGCTATCACGGACAATGGAGAAAATCCCGGGCTTGATGTAAGTAAAATGTAGTCATGTTTAGTTACATTTTGATCAAACAGGATTTGCTAACAACTTAGAGATATTACTGGCTTCTAGTTTTAATCACATAAGTTTTGGATATGGATGAACTATAAATGGCTTGTTTTTTAATCAGTTTCAAATTTCTTGGTGATATTTAATATTTATCTTGTCATATATTTACTAGTACTTTTGCCTTCCATTATGTTGTTTTTATAGGAAATATATGAGATTCCTCAAGCTTCACCACACACAGCTATAGGATTGACATGTAGTAAGGGTTCTTGCGTGACAGCGCCACTCGTTAATGCTCTTTCAAGTCACCCCTCTCCTGGGCCAGCTTCTGCACATAGGCCAAGAATGCGATGGACACCTGAGCTCCATGAGCGTTTTATAGAGGCTGTTAACAGGCTTGATGGGGCTGAAAGTAAGCTACTGCACCATCTATTCTACTTTCAACTCGGGTTTCGTTCCATTTCAATGGGAGCCCTAGTTGTATAAGTTACTCTATTAATCAAATTACAAATTTCTCGGTTACAGAAGTTACCAACATTATTTTGATTTTTATGGAGCGCTCACTAGTGTAATTTAAAATGCAGAGGCCACTCCGAAAGGTGTATTAAAGGCTATGAATGTTGAGGGCTTAACCATTTATCATGTGAAAAGTCACTTACAGGTACTCATCTTTAAGTTTTCGGTGATGTAAGAGTAAAATGTTGGTACTTATTTTAGCTATTTGACAGTATATTGTTAATTTCTAATTATCTGCAGAAATACCGGCTTGCCAGGTACATGCCAGAGAAAAAGGAAGGTAAGGAACAGATTTTGAAAGTAAATCATAGCTTTTGTCAAGTCGTAATCTCAGCAATTGAGCTCTGTTTTAGAAGTAAAATTTATTTGCTAGTTGGCTGCAACATGAGAACTGAACTAACCAGGCCCCAATATGATTATGCAGTAGTTGGTTTGAAATCTTCGTTTCTCGAAGAGCATAGTTTTAGGTTTACCTTGGCTTCAGCGAGTTAGAATGTGATCTTGGTTGATAGTTTCAGTTTGGGGTGTCGATTGATCATGTTTATCAAATGTCACTAGATAGTCTGACAGGATGGTTTTTCAGCTAAATAGAAGATCAGATCTGATTTCAGATAATATAGGTGGCTGAATGTTCATACAAATTGTTGACCTGCACTTTTCTCTTCACTCCTTAGATAAGAAGGCCTCTAACTCTGAAGAAAAGAAAGCTACTTCAACCATTAACGAAAGTGATGGACGTAGAAAAGGGTCAGTATTGCTTCTCATATATATCTAGTTTTCTCAACAGATGTTTGGATTTATTTGTTTTGTGAAACTTCATCTTCTTGTCTCAGGAGCATTCACATCACGGAGGCTCTGCGCCTGCAAATCGAAGTTCAGAAGCAACTGCATGAGCAGCTTGAGGTGAGAGTTCATTTGAAGTTGATCACAGTTGATGTTTCCTATTTTTCTTCTGGCTGCATGTCTGTTTCATGGTATACGTAGGTCAGACCTTGAGTCATTTAAAAAAGTTTCGGTTTTGATCTTATATATCCTGCATCGTAAACATAGGTTCAAAGGGCCCTTCAACTACGCATAGAGGATCACGCAAAATACTTGCAGAAGATCTTCGAGAATCAACAGAAAGCTGGCAGTGCTTTACTTTCTCCGCAAGTTTTGTCATCTCTCACAACAAATTCCATTCAAGTGTCCGAGCAACAGCCTTCTTCATCATCCTGTGTATCACTCCCACAACTGGCTGAGTCTGACTCATTATCGCCTCTATCACTGAAGCATAAAGCTACTGACTGTAGTGACTCTGAGCTGTCGGCAGGCACCAAAAGGCCCCGTCTTGAAGAGAAACCAGATGAGGGTGCAGTCGAAAATCCTCAATTATAACTGCTTCCACAACACCATTCCTCTAGAGTCTCAAGTCCATTGTTTGTATCATGTATAGGACTTCCGAACTTTTTGTAGCTAAAATTAGCAATTGAATTAATATGCTTGATTTGTATCTCTTGACAGAAAGTAGTAATTAGAGGAAGAGCAAATCAACTTTTTAGTTCAATCATTCTGACAATCAGCTATTTGATTAAAAATCCATTTGTTGCATAAAATGTTGAGACCCTGCTCACGAATTTGCTTTGGAGTGTTGGAGAAATAGTAGGTGTGGGTGCTCCTTAAGAATTGGATTTGCCAATCGGAGATGGCATCTCGGTGTAGTGGGTTTTGAAAACCTTTGACCCTTGTAAGCGAACATTCACAATACACGATTGCGTCTGATGGAATATTGAAACAACTCCTACAACACGAAATATTGAAACAATTCCTACAACATGAAATATTGAAACAGCATCTGACCAACTTCAGTGTACAACACTATCGCCACATGGCTTGTGCTAAGAACTACAATGATCATTCATTCATACATCACACAGGGCCTAGCAAATTTTAACCAAACATTCTTGAAAGAATTGCTTACACCAACTCTGCTGGTGTAGAAAGACTCCTTTTGATGGTGCCTTTTTGCACTGCTTTACTTCTCTGATGAGAGTAGGTACTTAAGTCTCGATCTTTTTTAAAATTGTACCTGCCACGATGAGTATATTCAAGGGACAACATATAAACAACGCGATATTAATGTTGTTTGTATCATATTTACTTATCACATATATACTAATGCCGCATGATATTGTGAGCTTAACATATCTCGACATTTCAAAGTCATTAATTTTTCGCCAAACTCCATCAGAATGTCAATCCTATCCAAGTTGTAAACCCTTGACCTGTGTTTCAATGGTAAAACTACGGTTGATTTTTAGTTAAAACTGACAAAGGCCAGCATAATAAGTTTTGTTCAAAACATGACCAGCATTAAACAACTTCATCTTAGTACCGTAGTAGAGGTGTCAAACGGGTGGGCCAACACGAGCACGAGGATGAAAACGACAAGGCATTTTGTTGTTTTGTACTAAAACAAAATGAATGATCACTTGCGTCCACCCTGAAAGGAGGAGTTCATTCCTCCTTCATTAATGTATAAGAGCAAAAAATAAACATGATCAGGAAAAAAAATACATGATCACGAGAAATACTTGCGGAAGATCTTGAAGGAACAATAGAAAGCCGGCAGTATCTACCTTTCTCCATAAGCCTTGTCATCTCCCAGGACCAATTACATTCATGAGTCGGAACAATAGCCTTCTTTATCAGCAGGTGGCCTGATGTATCACCCACACAACCGGGTGAGTCTGACTCAGCAACCTCGTCACTGAAGCATAAAGCTACTGATTGCAGTGATTCTGACTCATCAGCACCTCATCACTGAAGCATAAAGGCTACTGATTGTAGTGACTTTGAGAGGCCGGCGTGCACCAAAAGGCCCCGCCTCAAAGAAAAACCAGATGACGGGGCGATCGAGAATCCTCAAGCAATAACTACTGCCACAACACCCACTACCATAAACTTCTGAAGTCTCGTGCATTGTTTGTATTGTAGAATCTAAGAATACACAGTTTCTGAATATACCTCTTTCATTTCATTCAATGTTCATAAAATTACAATAGTGCTTCAGTATATATGTAGGCAATATACTACTTTCACAATTACAGTTATGCCCTTGACTAATCTACCAATTTACAAAAGAATTAGAACAAACATTTAACTAACTTGATGACTCAATACTTGACTGCATCCAAAGGTCCAAGAGAAAGCTTGGATTGCAAGTACAAGATCCTGGATTTAGACAAGGATTTAGTATGAATATCTGCTAATTGGTCCTGAGTGCACACATATTGGACTTTGAGTAGATTAGCTAGCACCAACTCTTGGATATAATGATAATCAAGTTAAACATGCTTGGTTCAAGCATGGAAAATTGGATTGGAGGTAAGGGAAATTGCAGAAATATTATCACACCAGATATGAGGAACCTGAGGAAGATGAAAACCAATATCCTTGGATACTTTATAGATCCATGTGATTTCAGTTGCTGTGTGAGCTAACGATTTGTACTCTGCTTCAGTGGAGGAGCGAGCAACAGTTGGTTGCTTCTTAGCACTCTAGCTAATAAGTTTGGACCCTAGAAATATACAATACCCACTAGTAGATCTTCTATCAAATATGTAGCCAGCCCAATCATTGTCAGAGTAAGCACTGAGATGAATATCATCTTTCTTGAAGCCACAAACCATGACTCACTGTGCCTTTAAGAAACCTGAGAATGCGTTTGGTTGCTTGGAGATGTGATTCTCTTGGAGCATGCATAAATTAACAGACTTGATTTACAGCAAAAGACAAATCAGGTCGTGTCCAAGTTGAGTATTGCAACGCTCCTACAAGTGACCGATACTCGGTTGGATCTATTAACAAAGGACTAGTGTGATCAAGCTTGAGTGAATCAAGAGGGGTGATACACGATTTAGCACATTCCATATGTGTCCTTTGTAGCAAGTCAAGGAGGTACTTGCTTTGATGTAAAAAGATGCCTTTAGAATATCTTTGAACCTCAAGGCCCAAGAAATAATGCAAGGGTCCTAAGTCTTTCATAGGAAAGACAATACCCAATTTCTGAATAAATTGTTGACAAGCTGCAGGATTAAGACCTGTGACAAGTATGTCATCAACATACACCAATACAATAACAAGAACAGGTGCTTTGATCACAAACAGAGAAGCATCAAATTGTGACTGGTGGAATCCCAAAGACTGAAGAACTGCAAATAGTTTGTCAAACCAGGCCTTAAGGGCTTGTTGCAAGCCATATAAGGATTTTTGAAGTTTGCATACATGATTGGGTTAGTTGGGATCACTGAAACTTGGTGGTTGTTGTATATAGACATCTTCCTGAAGATCCCTATGTAAAAAAGCATTACTTATATCCAATTGGTTGAGAAACCAATTGTATTGAGATGCTAGAGAGAAAAGAATTCGAATTGTCACTAGCTTTGCTATAGGACTAAATGTTTCCTTGTAGTCCAAACCAGCTTGCTAATGAAAGCCTTTGGCAATAAGCCGGGTTTTATATCGATCAATAGTTCCATCTGGATGCTTTTTAACTCAAAAAACCCATTTATAACTGACAATATTCTGATGAGGGTGAAAAGGTACTAGAGACCAGGTATTTATAGGACTGCAAGGCATTGTACTCATCCTTTATAGCAGACCTCCAATGAGCATGTTTCAAAGCTTGGAGATAAGTGGCTGGGACAAAATCAATAGTTTTCAGGCAAATGATGTTTGGTAGCTGAGTAGGCTTTGGGTTTAGTTATTCTAGCCTTGGATCGTGTGATCATATGATGAATATTAGTTGCTGCAGGTAATGGAGATATTATAGGTTGAGATACTATAGGTGGTGTAGGGGTAATATTAGCATCCAAAGTGGCAGGTGGTGAAACTGAAGATGGAGAAAGAATAGACTGGGTAACAGACTGTGTAATTGGGACATTAGTTGCAGCAGGTCCATTAGGGGCAACAGATTGTGCAACTGGAGCATTAGGAGCAGCATGTATATTAAATTGCAGAGTAACATTGGGTTCACTTGTGAAGTGTCATTAGAAGAACTTGATTACAGTAGAGGGAGTGGATAAAAAATGAAATGAAAAACGAGTCTAATCAAATAACACATGCCTTGAAATGTAAATTCTTTGTGTAACTGGATCAAGACACCGATACCCCTTGTGTTGAAGGCTATACCCTAAAAATACACAGTACTTACTCTTATTGTCCAATTTGGATGTAGTATTAGGCTTGAGCCAAGGAAAACATCCACAACCAAAAATTTTGAGTCGAGAGTAATTTGGAGGTGTACGAAAGAGAAGTTCCCAAGGAGATTGCAATAAGTCACCAATGGGAAGCCTATTAATCAAATAAGTAGCAGTGGAAAATGCTTCAACCCAAAACACATAAGGAACTTTAGATGCAACCTAAAGTGTTCGTGTAGTTTCAACCAAGTGACGATGCTTCCTTTCAACATATCCATTATGCTCAAGAGTATGAGGGCAAGTAAATTGTTGTAAAATGCTATAAAGTTCACGAAAATTCTGAAACTGATGACTAGTAAACTCACCCCTTGAATCAGAGCGAACAACTTTTATTTTATTACCAAGAGTGTTCTCTACATAAGTCTTGTACTCCACAAATGTTGAAAATACAAAAGACTTATACTATACCAACTATACTTGTTGTAATCATAAATAATAAGCAAGTAATACATATAGCCACTCATTGAAACAATAGGAGATGGCCCCCAAACATCACAATGCAACAATTCAAGACTTTTAGTAGACACAGAATGAGGAGCAGCAAATGGAAGCTTGTGATTCTTTGCGAGAACGCAGTCATTGCAGAAGAAGTCCAGATAGGGTTTGCCTTGGACATCAACCTTATTCGTAGATAGAACTTTACGAAAAATAACAGAAAAGGGATGACCAAGCTTGCTGTGCCACATTTTGACATTAGCATGAGTACTTACTAGTGCAGCATGAGTGGAAAGAGTAGTTTTGCAGAGGGAAGGTGAACTTTGAAGAGGAAAGAATCCATCTTTAACTTGTCCTCGCAAAAGCGTCATCCCCATAAAATGATCTTTGATAGAGGATCCATGAATGTCAAGAGTTAATGAGCAATCATTATCTTTGATAAATTGATAGGCAAAAAATAGACTATGTTGCATTTGAGACAAGTGAAGAACATTTTTCAATTTAAAGGAATGAGCAGGAGTATGCAAAATAGAAGTGCCAGCATGATCTATAGACAGACCTTTGCCATCTCCAATGTATACCTTGTCTTCACCATGATAGGGAGTATGAGACTGTATATTAGATATTTCATTGGTAATATGGGAGGTAACACCTGAGTCAATGAGCCAAGAAGTTGATGGTTTGGCAGTGTAATGGGCACACATAGTAACAAGTTTTGTAGGAGGAACCTTGTCTGAGATCTCTGGATTCATTGGATTGAAACAATCAATAGCTTTATGGCTGGTAGACCCATAAATTTGACAAGGAGTTTTGTGACCAAAGAAGAAGAACCACGATTGAATCCAGAGTTATAATTGCCACGAATGAAACCAGAGTTGTAGGTGCCATGATTATGTCCCCGAAAACCTCGATTATTACCACGATTGTGCCTACCTCTATTAGAATTATACCGAAATGAGTTGTGAAGTGGCTGAGTGCCATGATTCTGAGCAGCAAGAGCTTATGGTGGTGTGGGAAGTAGTGGCAGTTTAGCTTGCATGAAGAATAGATGAAAAGGCTCAGAAGAGGAAGTTTTCTTGGGACGCGCCATGGATAACTCCTTAGTAAGTAACAAGCCATGTAATTCATCCAAAGAAGTGGATGAAAGATGAAGCAAGATTGAATCAGTGAAGGATTCAAATTCATCAGGGAGGCCTGCAAGAGTTGCTGCAATGAGATCACGATCAATAATAGAGGCTCCAGCAGCAGTGAGAGAATCAGAGATCTCCTTGATTTACTGAAGGTAATCGGACATTGACTAAGTGCCTTTATGAATATTCTAAAGCCGTGAACGCAATTGATGAATATGCGTATTCGAGATACCACCAAATCTCTGCTCAAGTTTGAGCCAAAGATCACGAGCAAACGAAACACCAACGGTGAACGGAATGACTTTCTTAGAGAGAGTCGAATTGAACCAGATGAGCAGATTTTGGTCCTCTCATACAATGCTCAAAGGCAGGATTAAGCTAACGATCTGGCATAAAGGGCGATGGACAGGGCTCAGTGCCATTAACAATACCAAGGAGCTTGTAACGACGAAGGATCGGTATAAATAAAGCACGCCATGGTAGATAATTGGATCGTTGAAGCTTGATCAGATCCATACTACCGATATTCTGGATCGTGAGAGAAGCATAGGGTTGGAAGAAATTAGAGTTCGAGGATGAAAAATTAGGGTTTAGAGCAGGCACTGACGCAACTGGAGAAGAGGATTCGAACGGAGATGCCGTCAAGATTCAAGATTAACAAGCCGAAAATCTGAATAGGAGTAGAACGATTACTCAATCAACACACCGAAGAAGAAGATCAGAGAATAGTGGAAGATTAGAGAAGAAGAATTCAGCAGGATCGAAGAAGCCGTGAGGCGGTTGGCAATGGTACTAGGTAGAATCTAAGAATACACAGTTTCTGAATATACCTCTTTCATTTCATTCAATGTTCATAAAATTACAATGGTGCTTCAGTGTGTATATATAGGCAATATGCTACTCTCACAATTACAGTTATGCCCTTGACTAATCTACCAATTTACAAAAGAATTATAACAAACATGACTCCCCCAATACTTGACTCTTTATGTATCATGTACAGAGCTTCCCAGGTTTGTAGCTAACCCAAGCAATTGAGCTGATATTGCTCGATTTGTATCTCTTAACAGCAAAGTAGTAATTTAATTAAGATAAAATCAGCTATTATAATTCAATCGTTCTATTACTTAAAAAATTACTTCGGAGTGTTGGAAAAATTGGAAGTGATGGATGTAGGTTGAGTCGTAGAATTCAAATGGTGCACAAATCTAGTATAACATATTCGGTAATAATAGCACCATAAATCAAATCTATTTATTTAACAAAAAAGAAAAAAAAGTGTAGCCACTAACACATTTCAATGTACAATAGTTTTGCAATGTAAATAATCTTATATAAATAGACATGCTCCAATTATCATTACATCACAAGACTTGCAATGTAATATAACTTGAAAGAATGGCTTTCATCAGCTTTTGTTTGTCGAGCAAGACTCGTTCTACTAGGGCTTTCTGCACTGCCTTGCTTCTTACTGAGAATGGTGTAGTGTGGACGCAGAACAACATTCCACGAATAAGTTAATCCTTATTAAGGACTATGCATGAACCAGAACTCAGGATGAACGGAATTAATGCTAAATATTAACTTGAACCAGACTTTATATATGATGAGCATACAATGTGGTTATTAAATGAGACCAGTTTACAACATGAAATATTGAAATAATTCTTACGACATGAAATATTGAACCCTGCTCATTAGTTTGCACTATTAGGAATAACTTCTTGGGTGACGAAGGGGAAACTATTGCGCAAAGGGAAAAACCGTCACCTGAAACATTGGATGGCGAAGACTCCGTCGCGCAAAGCTCGTGACGTCAGGCAGCGATGGAGGAAATGTCTTCATCGCGCAAAATGAAGATTGTGCAACGGAAGTCGTGGTCGTTGCGTGTATTGAGTGACGAAACTACGGTTTCAACCCCTAAACTCTTGTGTGATGTGACACGGGTTCGACCCTCAAAGTCTTGCGTGACGGACATTCAAGTTTGACCCACAAACTCTTTCACGACGTATATAGAGGCTGTCGTAGTAAGATTTTTTAAATAATCTATTATTTATTTGTAAATTAGTTTTATAAATAATCTATTTTTTGTTTATTTTTTTTGTTTATGTAAAAGTGAATTTAATGAAAATAAAAATAGAAAATGTAAAGAAGAATATCGAATTGAAAAATTATTGTAAATGTACATACAATGGAAAAAGTATTTTTAAATTCAAAAACAATTTAAAACAAAACTAAAAAAAGAAGTCTGCCACGTCACAATTGCCGGCTGGTGGTGTGTTGCTGTGTAAGGGGGCTGGGAGGTCGTAGCTGCTGCGACGGGGGGTTGGGAGGATGTAGCTGCTACTGTGGGGGGCTGGGAGGTCATTTCTGGAGGTAGTTCAACGTCAGGGAATTGAATGCCAGAGATTTGAAGTGTGCGACGTATTTGGTTTATCAAATTGTTTTGGGCCACAATCTGAGACTGCTGGGCCGTAATATGCTCCTTCAAGCCCGCCACTTCAGATGTCAGCGTTTTGACCTGTTTAATTCTCTGCCTAGAGGATAAGGCAAACAGGTCCCGAAGGTGGGCTTTCCCAAGCCCCCAGTGAACATTGCTATGCCGATGACCAAGGGTCTGATCAAGTCTATCGGTCATGATCTGAAACCCAGCATCCTCAAGGGGAAACACCTCCTCGATCGAGGTCTCTAGGGGAAGCTGGGAAGTCACCTCCTCCAGAACTGTCTGACCCTTCTCCACCATGGTGGACTAGAAAAATGAAAAAATCAAATTAATTTGAATATACATGTAATTAATATTAATTCAAATTGAATATTATAAATTTGAAAGAACTTACATGAAGTTGCTCTGTCATCTCATCCTCAGGCCGAACGTACACCTTCTTGTCAATTTCAGGAAACTTTGGCCCCTTGAAAAAATTTAAAAAGTGTTAACATGGATTACCAATTGTGTAATAAAGAGATTGAAAACTTAAAATAAATATACAGTTACCTTATGTCGCTCCTCGAACCTATAAGAGAAGCGTCGTGACTCGGATCGGTGAAGGAGTTTTTTCTTCAACCGATTGATCGAGTTTGCCTTCACCTTTTTTCTGTTGAATTAAAAAAATGTATTAGTTTAGATATTTATAACAAATGAATGAAAAAAATGAAATGTTTTTTTTTTTAAAGTGTAAATTTTTTTATTAATATATTATTGAAATATAAATTATACATACCAAGTATTCTCATCTTGAAAATGGCTGTAGAGCCACTCCCATTCATCCCGATGGTCCAGCAACTGTATAGGGCACCTAACTTCTAGAGCGACCGCCGGACCGTCATATAGCTCATAATGCTTGTGGTGGTTGGTTTTCCATTGAGTGAACCTACTGGAGCAAAGGTCCTTGATGTACTCCATTTGGTTGGAATCGAGGTTGGAGAGCTCATAGTGATGCTGCAAAACTTAACAAATAAATAGTAGTTAAAATTTATAATATTTGTATACTTTAATAAAAATTTAGTATTTGAGGTTGAAAATACTAACCAATAATTCATAAAGCATGGCGTCTTTGGTTTCTTGTGGCACAGCTCTCCATGACTCCCACCTGAGGGGGCAATGGTTCCTAATAACACAGCCAACGTCGGTGACCAACGCATTGTGCTACTCCTTTGTTGCAGATGCACGATGTCGAGGATCCCACGTAATGGTGATCTTTTGGGCGTGGTATGCGTGGTCTGAGAAGTTTTTTGTAGTCTTCAAGGACCCTGGTTTTTTTTTGAACTACCAAATAAACAAAGTAAACATTAGACGAATTCTATTTTCTACTGAAAATTCGACAGAACCTCCCCTAAAACTATAACATTTCCAAAAACCTACACACAATATAACAACAAAAGCAACACATCAACCCCACAATTCAAAAAGTTTATACCAACTGGGGACGTTAAAAACAAAATTCCAACTTATTGATATGACTTCTCAGTGCTACTTAACAATCATTAATATGGGTCAAAATCACAATTCAAAATAACTAGCTAGCATGTATGTTATTCTTTGCATAAATTAAAAGATTAGTTCGATTTGCATCAAATATTTTTTACTTTGCTACTCAATTATTAGAGAGGATAACAATTATTAGAGAGGATAAGATTCCTTAATTATATTATGGTTCTCATTTTAATTACACAAGATAAGTTCACATTCTATGCTTCAAGGGAAATGGTGGGATTTTGAATATCCATCTTTTAAGTGAAAGTTTGATTATCTGCAACTAATAATGCAGTAAATTTGCACTTTATATCTCTAGTTGCTAAGACATTCTCTAACACGTACATGATAATATGCTCTTTACATATATGTTTTTATAATTTTTGTGCATAAGGCGGCTGCTAAATAAGAGGCATTTTGTATAAACATATTCTACAATAAATGAGATATTTGTGCTTAATGTTTCAGTGAACAAAATTGTACTTACAGCAGCTAATATATGCTTCCTTTTATATCACATTTGGTTTTTTAGGGAGGTGTCCTTAGCTCTTATAAATCATACAAGTTTCTTCAAAGATCAAGAATAGTATTTAATTATGATGCGCTATGAAAACAAGATCAAAACGATTATAGTGCTTGAACTGGTGTATAGAGGCAAGAATATAGAATCATTTTAAATGAGCATCTCCATAATTATATTTTCCCTATTTTTTTGGTTAAATGTGTTTGCATATAAGCTATCTACACTAATATACATCAGAAGAGGAGGAGAAGGCGGGAGGGAGGGAGGGAGCAAGCTTACCTATTTGGGACCCCTCTCCTTGGACAAAGGAAGCGTCACCAGACAGCTGAGCCTCCTCAGAAGTCCGAGGCTGTTGATGAATCCATTGGGCGCTTAGGACATGATGGGTCACTGAAGAAGTCGATGATGCAGTAGCCGTAGACACTGTTGGCCCTAAAGATGCGACTAGAAGGACACCTTTCGTGGCCATATCAGATTTGGAGGTGGCAGTCACATTACCTCCTTAAGAAGGTGTCTGATTGCCCTTACTAGCTGCCCGCCGGTTTGATATTAAGTTTGACATCTACAAAAATAATCATGAATCTATTTAGATATCATCTTATTATATGCATTTCATTTCACATATATAAGGTGAATGAAAACAACACAAGAAAACCTAAAAAACCACAAACCATGATTTATTCAATGCTTGAAGCCACTAATTATAAGTTATTTGATCTTTCAAGCACACAAACATCACACTAAATGCTTTATGCATCCAAAGAGTGATAGAAGCTTAATTTTATTTTCTGACTTGTACAATTACCAAAACATTTCACATATTAGGTTCCAATATGAAGGCTTAGTTTGTAATGTATGTTAATTACAGCCATCCATTCGTAAAGATAATATGAAATCCCCAAAAAACTTTATAACACATGGAATATCTAGAAGATGTCATTGTAATTTGAAAAAAAACCTCATCTCAAGAGGGTGGAGAATGTCACATATCATAAAAAAAAAATAAAAATAAAGCTTACAACCAAGTTACATTGGGTCAAAGATTCCTATGAATGATAAAACTCATTCTCCAACTGCCTCAAATACCTGCCTATTCCTTATTTCTTCACCACCAAAAGGAAAAAACCATGTATTTCTTCTGGGTCGAAGAAGAATGACACGCATATCATCACAATACAAAACAGTCCTCATACAGTAAAGGTGTTCATATTATATTTCCCAGCTCTTCAAATCCAGGATTTGGGGTCCTCCATCCATACTAAGTGCAAAGAGTATTATTCATTCAACTAAAACTGCACACATGCAATATATTCCTTTGTGTACTTTTACTCATACATGCATGTGGGGGAAGAATGAGATAAACATGCTAGACTAAGGGAGAAGTAAGAACTGGATATAATAATATGCAAGCAATTAGCTCTATAAATAGATATAGAGTTTAGGTTTTTTTTAATCTCAAATCCATAAAAATGATGAGAAAATCATATAAAACAAATAGAAACAATACACAGACAATAGTTTAGATGGAAAAAAGAAGAAGAAAGAAAATAGAAGTGTAGATACCGCTTTCAATTTCAACACAGGGCTATTTCAACGATGATTGGACATCTAAATTCTGATTTCTCATAATTAAAACCCTAGATAAAAAAAATTCCCCAACTTGTAAATATGTAATTCGAACCGTAATTCGAAAACCCTACACCATGAACAACTACGATTCCCAATCCCAACCTTAAATCCTTAACCCAGGATTCCCAATTCCAACCCTAAATCCCTAGCCCAAGACTCCCAATTCCAACCCTAAATCCCTAAATCTTGTAACTAAAACAATCGAAGATCAAAATTCAGAAAATTGTACTTATAAATAATTGAATTAAGGGAAACTGGGTCCTTACCTAGTAAATTTGCGTGCAATGTGGCGTAGGAGTGCTGTGGATTCGAAATGGAGAGTGACAGAGAGACAGAGAAACCGAGGAAGTGCGAGTGAGGGAGAAAGGGAGACACTGAGATTGAATCTGAGATAGAGAGAGATAGAGTGAAGAGGTTGACTGAATGGAGAAAGAGAGAGAGAGAGAGAGGAGCTTGGATCTAATTTTGGGAAAAAAAAATCAAATTTTTACATTTTTGCGCGACGAAGATGTTTAAACTTTTGTCGAGTAACTAGTTTTTTTTAAATGAATTTTTAAATACTTGCACGACAAATATTTATAAAATGTCGCCGTGCATAACTATAAATTTAATTTATTTTTTGGTTTAAATAAATAAATATTTTTTTTTAATTTAATTTTGTTACAAATTTTAAAGGAAGTTTTTGTTTGTATATAACATTTTTAAATACCATTCAATACAATTTTTCATTAATCCTCGTAAAGATCATCACTATCGTCAGATTCAGACTCCCATTCCTCCTCGTCTGTAGGCACATCAACATCATTGTTCGCGGGCTCAGGTGCATTGTATAACAGCAGATCCCCAAGGTCAATCGTAATGGAATTGATCGGTATTTTGATTTCAGGACCTCCAACTACCTGATACGGGTTTTGTGTAATAGTTATATCCCGCATTGTATCTACACCAAGTGCCGTTGAAGTCTCTAATTGTTGGTCAGCAACGTCACCATAATCGTCATTGGCCGCAGGATCTCGATATGCAATATCATACACTCCTGTGTGCTCAAACTTCTGACCTACTTTCCATCCCCTCCTGGCCTTAGGGTCATCTATATAGAAAATTTGTTTAGCCATCATTGCCAAAATGTAAGGGTCGTCGTTATACCAACATCGGTTAGTGTTGACCGATAGCAAACCATCGTCTCGCTTAACACCTCCAACCCAATGTGGGTTTGTATCAAACCAGCAACACTTAAAGAGGATAACTTGACACCGGTCTTTGTAAAGCAATTGCACAACACTTGTCAATTTTCCATATAAATCAATGTCTGCAATGTCACCCGCACCCCATACATGTACCTCAGTATTTTTCATACAAAGCTTGTCATCACAATCAGTTGCCAAAAACTTGATGCCATTTACATGACAACCGGAGTACAATTTTGCACTTAGGGGCCCAATCGCCAAGTTGTATAATTCTTCACTGTAAACGTGCAAATTAATTTCCTTCAATTTCTTCACCTAAATAAAAGAGAAAAAGATGTCATGTTAGTTTAACATTTACAATTATGCAAAAAACCCAAACACGAACAACATACATTTTTCACGAAACTATTGAGGAAACAATTCACAATGCTTTTTGGCATATAATGTGAAGGATGTTCCCGCTTCATCAACTCTTCATGCTCATCTAGGTACATAATTGTCTCGTTACAATTGTTAAGTACAAACCAATGTGCTACCTCCATGTCATTTTTGTCAAACGCCTCCCTCTGATTGGTTAGTCAAATGGTCGTGCAATTTGGGCAAAAACAGAAAAATTTTCACTTCTCACACCACCATCATTATTGTGTTGTTGTCGGTTGAACATAGTCTCAATGTCTTGTAGGTACATTGCACAAAATGTAAGCGACTCAAAGCCGACATATGCCTCCACGATTGATCTTTCGGGCTTTGCCCTATTCCGTACACTCTTTTTTAATTCACCTGGTAGTCTACATCAATAAGCAAATTACCGTATAAAATTAGTGTAATTGTACATACATCACGAACTAAAGTATTTATGGCGATTATATATCTTTCAATCGAATACATACGTCGACAGTTAACGGGGCTAGCTAGAAATGCCTCATCCAGTAAGTGAATCATCACGTGGATCATGCTTGTGAAGAAAGATGTAGGAAATATTTGTTCAAACTTGCATAACACTTCAATAATATCGTCACACAACTGTTTAACATTGGACTTCCTCAAAGTTTTTGCAGTTAATTGAGAAAAATATCTTGCCAACAACATAATCGACTTCACCACGTCTTTGGGCAAAGGGTATCGAATTCCCACTCAGAGAAAGCGTTGAAGTATGGCATGATAATCATGACTCTTGAGGCCGGAAAATTTGGCTCCATCCACATTTGCTCAACGCCCGATGTTTGAAGTATACCCATCTTCAAACTTTACAGAAGATAGAAAGTGCAAAAATTCTTTCTTCTTTTCCGGTTTCACCAAAAACGATGCGAGCTTATTTCTGGCTATATCTCCGTCCCTCATCATCCTTAAACCTGGCATAATGCCCATTTTTTCCAAATCGATCTGAGCTTTTATTGTGTCCTTTGTTTTTTCCTCGATGTCCAGTATAGTTCTGACTA